TTGTGCATCTTTTCGACAGCTGCTACTGATTTCAATCTAAATTCATTCATGTCTAATACATTTAATTCGTAAGTCATTTGTCCCCCAATTAAAATATGAATTAATTCGTGATCTGTCAGAGAGTGTATGTACGCACTCAGCAGAATACCAGTATCACTAATGTTTGCGATAGAGCACCACAACTTGTCCTTTAGGTGTTCAGTATAGCTACACTTTAATATGATATGAGTTAATATATCTTGGTAAATAATACCACATCTATGACATAGCTCTTTGGCTTTACCAGTACGAATATTTACTATTAATTTCGTAACATATAATATGGAATCTTTAAACTCCGGGAATTTCATTGCCAGTTTCCATAGTATATGTGGTTGCAATATATTATGAACCATTACAAATCTGTTAAAATCACTATCATTTGACATTCGTTCTTTCCAATAATGTTTCTCTTTCAACAACACAGATTTATTCACAATTATTTTCCATTGCCGTTTTAATGGGAATACACTCGTTCGAATATACTTGTTCAACATATTATAAAAATTGTACTTTTTAAAAATTCTCAAAATATCATTTAAAAGTCCAAAATGGTCACTAGATTTGTTCAGCATTGATGCGTATAGTCTTCTTAAAAATATACGTGATGACAATGTATTTTTATCTAAATAACACAACCTTCCAAAAAACAACAATTTCTTATATCTATATAACTTTCTATGGTGTCCATCCAACCAATCCATAGCACATATCAGTACGTGTTCTGTTGCTAAAACCTTGAATTGATTTTAAAATAAATCTTTGCGCTCTTTCCAACAAAAGTAACTCTTTCTTTGATAAAATCCATAGTTCACAACCATATAGTGCTGACGTATATACAACTTGTTTGATAAGTTTTCCGGCAGTAACTGGATTTAACGCACAAGGATGTGCACCACTCTTAATTAAACTCATTGTACCACTTTTTAATTTGCTACAAGCACGCATTGTACGTTCATATGTTTGGAATTTATTATTTAACATAATACCAACGTGAACAATATCTTCCACTTCCGGTATAATATTATCATATAAATAAAAACTAGTAGCACATTTCACTTTTTTTTCTTATTAAAATACATAATCTTACTTTTGGTGTTAGAAAACAAAAATCTCCATTTTTTACTATAATCTTCACACATCCGTAGCATATATTCCAAATCAGTATATTTATTGCTTACGAGGCATATATCATCAGCTTGAGTGGGTATATTAACTCTAAAGTCGATGATCATTGATCCCTTGCCACTCTGTTCAATATTTTTCAGCAACATATTAATAAAAACTAAATACATTTTCGCAGATAATGCGCTCCCTTGTAAAATACCTCTCTCCATGGGTACCCATCTTGATTGTAATCCATTAAAAATAATGCAACTTTTGACACCAGTATATATTCCTTTCAGTAATTTCCATACTTTCGAGTTCAAGCCAATTTCATAAAGTTTGTATAGCAGGCCTGCGTGCCATACCGTATCAAAGGCTTTATTGCTATCTAAAAATCCAACATACACATTATCATCATTTTCTAAGTTATATCTTATACATTCCTGTAAATTAAATGATGTACATAAACTACATAAACCTTTCTGATAGGCTGCTTGTTGCCTACATGGAAATGTATCTGATTCAAGAATTGAACTTATTCTTTCTGATGTTAACATTTCAAAAACTTTAAAAATAACTGGTAATAAAGTGATACCTCTGTAGTTATTGGGATCATCTTTTGGTTTATTGTTCCCTTTATATAACGTAACAATATTTCCTTTCTTCCAATCAGAAGGTATATATTAATTATCTATTACAAGGTTAAATAACATCGTTAAGTATCTAAATAACAGTTCGTTCCCATTAATAAGATGCTCGTACACTACTCCATCAAATCCTCCTGCTTTTTTGTTATTGAAACTTTTACAAATTTTCTCGACTTCTGTAGCAGTGACTTGATTATTTCAAAAAACGTCGCGCTCGTTGTGTATATTCTTTTCAATATCTCTTACACTTTTTAAAATGTTAGCGTAAAACTGTTTGTCGAAAAGATTACACTGAACATCTTTAAAAAGGTTTTCGAAATGTGTAGCCCAAACTTCCACTATATCATTAGGTTTGCAGAATATGTTTTACCGCCATATTTTATTTTAGTCTGTGTATTAAATAAATCCCATAACAGTTTCTGATCTATTTCTCCTGACTGATCTATTTTTTCAAATTGCTCCGACATGTACCGGTTAAAAGCGTTCCGCAGTCGTTTTCTAAAATCAGCTTTGACATCTTTATACTCTCTGTAAATGTTTACAGTAGGTTCTCTAGGTTTACGATACCGTGACCAATGGTAATATAAGGTAAAGAGCAATTTGTCCGGCAATCTCTGTAATATACGTCTTTGATAATTAATATTGCTCTGCTGTATCCATAAACGTATAACGTTATAGATGGATAAGCATATGACGAATAATGATGCATAAGAAGTGGGAAAATTACATCATTCATCGATCGCACCACAATCGGTCATTTCCGATTTTTGTTTCGAGCTACGGAAAAGGGCGAAGCGTGCACGGCACACAGGGGAGACAACCATAGTTAAGCTCGAAGATTTAACTTATCTAAACTCATTCATATATGATCTTAAACAACGGGATTCATTGATGTGTAATCATAATATGTAAAACAAAGCAAAATTGTCTTCTTTTTCGAAAAGATTTAGTTAAATTTACATAGATTTGGTTAGATTCAAATCCTTCTATCTGAATAAAGCGTTCCAGTGCGCCCGATCATGATGTTAACGTAAACAATTAGCTGTGACTACATGCCGTTACTTGTAGGTTTTCGATTTCATTTGAGATAAGCGTCCAGCACTCTTCACCAAGACAGCACAACAATAAACACAAGGTATGTACTCAAATGATGCTCTTATGATCTAAGATACAGTAAAATCACAGAAATGTAACGTTCTACTTGTATACTTGCATTTTGAATTTTATAATGTATTTCATTTTTAATCGGATCCACGTGTCTCAAATCTGTGTTGTCCAGTTGTCAAGTGTAAACGTACGTAAGCTAGTACCTAGTATGTGTCAAAATTACCCTTATATTCAACATTATATGAAAACATTCTTGAATTATATATATATTTGCTGTATACATATTATTGATCTCATTTAACATTTAAACAAAGACATAATCATCAAAATTGATAGCCCCTTCGTAACAATTGAGAAGAGAGGAAGAACAGCGTAATTTATCATGGAATCAGATTAATATTTAATTTTGTAACATTATGCTAGACCAATATTTAGGTCTACAAATGTAACTGTATAACCAACAGACATCAGCTAGTTTATGGTGCATTAATGTTAGGATAAGTAACTCAAAATAAAGTTGAAATTAAAAGTCATTTGCATCACATGTACATATATATATATCATATACTAATACTAAAAATTATCCTATTAATGTTTGATAGACTTTTTTAAGGTCTGTACTCCTCACCTTAACTTAANCCCCCCCCCCCCCCCCCCCCCTTCGTTCTCACGGCATGACTATCCACATACAGTACAGCCTCCAACATATCTAGATCTCCTCTCCATCCATCTGCCCGACTAACATAGGCTGGCCTATGTATGTATAAACACCTGTTGCCCCTGAATCGCCCAGGGGATGACCAATTAAGTTTAACATGTCTATGTGCGATAATTGTGTGACTTAATGTGATGCACTGCACTGCTTTAAAACTGTTGCAGGTTTTAATTGTACATCGGATTAAGTCACCTAGCTTTGAGCTAGAGGGAATTTCCCTTTTTCTCAGTGGTAGAGCGTCCAACTATAGGAACTTGGAGATTGAGGGTTCCATCCCCGGTGGAAGCACACTACTCTCTTTCCTGTTACAAATGGTGGCTGTGGCCCTCCCTCTGGTGACAGGGAGTTAGAACTTGGGTTGTGGTGTTCGAGGACAAACACATTTAAAAAGGGTGGAGTTTTGTACATAGGATTATGGTCACCAGTTCTAAGCTTCGAGTTAGAGGTTGAGCGTCGGACTAGGAACCTGGAGATCGAGGATTCCATCCTCGGTGGAAGCACATGCACACTATTCTCTTTCCTGTTACACAACTATAAAATCACATACACAGTCATGCCGTGAGACACGACACTAACCCCCCCCCCCTTTCTACCCTTTATATAAACATCTTGATCACAGTCACAGTACCAAAACTAAACTTATCTTTAGCTTGAGCTAGCACATGTGCGCACAGTATCCAGAGACAGTAATCACACCATCCCTGGAGATTCGTCTCTTACTGAAAGAAGAAGAAGATGGTTGATTCAAATTGTATTAATTTAGGTTACATGTTCATCTCGGTCATTCCATTGAAATAGATTATATCTGGTCAATGATATGATGTGAAACAAATTTTAAGCATCCTAACACAGAGCAAAATATATTACAAAATCTTTCTTTAATATAGTTATTTATCTTATTAACATTTGATCAGCGATTAGAAATATTGTTATAACTGAACTAGTATATTTGATCTAGTGATGAATTGCTCCTCCAAATATTTAACAAATATTTAGTCTGATAATTGTTGGACTTTTATGCCATATTTTAAGCCAATGTCTGGTGATAAGCCCACCCATCACTTTTCCCTACTTTTCACACTTGGGTGGGTACCCGGTATTCCCGTAATAAGTCCATCCCCATTTCTCTTAGTTTGTTTACCTGCAGGCTTCGGAAAAAAGATTTGTTATTGTTGTATGAAATGCAACACATGTTAAGCTAACCAGCAGTATGTATCAGAACTCTTTCTGGTGAATAAAGGATTATGGTTGTACATTTTATTTGATTAATGGAGCTTACTGGTAAAACATTACAAAGGACTTCTGATAAACAGTGTCATTTGGACAGACAGACTGACGGAAAAGGCAATCAATTTCTGTAATTCTCTTATCCTTTCAGCATGATGTGGGAACAAAAACAAATGTTTATCTCTGCTTACAATATTCACTTTACATCATCAAATACATGCATATGCCATTCATTGTAGAATGTCCAACGGAACAGAGCTGGTAAATATGCCACAGTCCGAGATTCCTGGGCAGGTGGCTCCAGTGGTTGCTCAGAAAGAGATGGAGCCTGCATTGATTACCCTGGAACAGAGTTCCCATACCGATGAGAGTCCAACAGGAAGAGAAAATAAGGCGTTTCAGGAGGAGGCTGTCACTAGTCCTGAGGAAACCAGACCCATGCTTACCTACATGGACTTCATGCCTAACTATATTGCTCAAGCTACCAGCCCTGATGAAGCTCCCACTTATGCGCGCTTCAGGTCAGTAGCTTGCTGTTTTGTGATGGAACTTTTGGTTTAACACAGAGATACATTTATCACATAATGTACTGTGTTATCCAGTGAATATACCCATGCCATATTACTTTGGGTATTATCCATGTAATATGACCTATCAGCCCTGTGATTGGTTGAAAGTTTCAATTGTGACGTCACACCTAGGACAAGTACATGACGTCATAGACTTACGCATTGGAGTCAAAATGCCACAAATCTTGATTATGTGATAAAAATTATCTTACACTCGTTTTCATTTCATATGAGATTTATTCAACTTGTTACAATTCTTTATACTCGTTTCAGAAATAGATTTATCATTTTACTTTTACTACTCACTCCAGAAAGAATAAATAATTTTGTCTTTATTAGACATTGGAACAAGAGTTAGTTTTTTTTCTTTTATTACAGCTTCATCGTTGACCAAGCTAATGCATGGCTGAATGCAAACCAGGATTTTACTGTCTGGAAATGTGAATCCATCAGCTATAAACTGGTAGAGGAAGATCAGTACGACACCAAAGGAGTGTTACATTCAGAGTCCTCATACGGCGTCAATAGATTCGTCATGGGGCTGAGGTATAGTCCAATTGTTTTTTATAAACTAATACTGATTATGATTTCTCCCTTACTTCACTGTTATCCCAATTTAGGAAGAAGTTTAGAAAAAATGAATTGCTAAGCATGTTGTTTACCGTTTTGCAATTACTTTCTATGCAACTTGCATTGTTCTTTTTTAATGATTGTTGTCCCAATGAATAGTGTATACAATAATTGAATTTAATAGATCAACAGTGGAATTGGACTGGGTCTATTTTTACCAGTGACCAGATACATGTAGCTCAATTGGTTAGAGCATCCGTCTAGTGTTCTGAGGTCCTGGGTTCAAATCCAGGTATGGCTGTGCATTTGTCCTCTCCTTGTTGCAAGCACTGGCCGTGTACAAGAGGATACCTGAAATTAGGTTTTAAAAAAGTGTAACTGAACTGATTTCATCACCTGCTAACTGTTAGCTCAACTGCTTAAAGCTTTCATCAAATCTTTGGGGATCCTGGGTTCAATTCCTGGTCTGGTCATGCATTTTACCTGATCTGTTACAGATCCAACATCTGAACTAATAAAATAGTACGTACCACTTCTCGTGTTGTAGATTATGGTTGGTCCCAAGAATTTCTGACACCATGCCGGTGGCCCAGATCGGATACACAACAGCCATTCCTGGGGAGCCTTATACAGATGAGGACCAGGGTACAGCTGTGCAATGGGAAAAAACACAGGCTATAAGCTCAGGGGGAGGTAACTTTGCACATGACATGCTGACAACAGTGGTAAGCTCTCTGATTCCCCCAGGCACCAATAAAGGAAATGATAAAGATGAAAAGGCTGGTGAACAGAGCACAACGGTAACTGACATCACCAATAAGGAGGGCAGTCAGCCGGTCCCAGAAAGGAGAGACATCGCTGCACATCTCTCAGAACCAACCCATCGAGTGTCTGCTGCATACTATACTACCATGACATCAACCATCAAAGGACTGAACAAAAAACTCACACGAAAACCTCTGCCAGGTGAGTGCTGTCCCTACTCCTGTCCAAGTTGTTGATACATGTAACAGCATCTTTGATTAGATAAAGATGATTCATTTTGTTTAGGACTGATTTTGTCAGTTTTCCATCTCAGGTGTTTTTAAAGAATATTTTGTAGTCAATAATAGTCAAAAGTTAAATGACATTTTTATGAATATCTTTACATCATCCAAAAAAACTGTGAAGGTCAAATTTGAGAAACTCATTTCTGTCCTCTCTTCAGGTGTGATACACTTATTCTGTCCACTTCGATTTCTCATGTGTAATATACTCATTCCTTCCACTCCTCAGGTGTGATACTCATTTTTGGCCACTCTCAGGTTTGATATTGATGCAGTATTCGTGCCTCCTTTCAAAGATTTTGCAAACCTTTTTTAAATTTAAAATGTATTTCTTAGGTGTGATATTAAATGTGGAAAACCTGACCCTAAGAGCTTCTACAGAGCAATCTAGGCCACAAATCGTGATGGACCCTGAGTGTACGTCGTGGGCAGAGGTGGGCCGCAGGAACACTGTCTATGTGTTTGCTATCAGGATATTTTATCTCAAAGGACGAGAGGAGTTCTGCACAATTGGTAAGTTCAATGATATGGTCTAATAGTCATATTCATTACAATTCTGTCTTTGCGTATTGCAGAGTTATCTTCTCTTATGAGCAGGTATTGATTGTTACGTCATTCGTTTGTGAGAGTAACATCATCAATTTTTGAGAAAACGACTAATTTTCTCACACAAACCAATGATGTTACAATCAATACCTGCTCACAAGAGACGATAACTCTGCAATACGCAAAGACGGAATAAGCAGAGTATGCCTCAGGTATACTACAGGAACATTTTGATAAAGCACATATATGTATTGAGTCAGACAATGAAACTGAAATATCCTATAGGCATATAAAATCATATAGAAAAAAGTTAATCTGTGAGACATTTTGAAATATCAATATGCATCACTTCTGGAATAAACTTTCAAATGCTGTAGAAGGCATATAATAAACAATTGCCCGTACCTGAAATGAGAACATCCAGAAAAACACATGGCCATGGCAAGTGGAAGGATGTGTTCTACTGGAGACAAGCTATAACCAAATTGGTAATGTATTAAATACCTGGTATCTGAGCTGCCAGTTGACAAACTTGATGTTAATGATGTAAAAGAAAGTTTTAACTGTTTTGACTTGGAAAATAATAATTAAAGGGTACATATTTCCTGACTTTTTGTACATTTCATATAATAATATGATGTAATACATATACTTTTGTATTTCAGGTTTCCATGACGAGCTCCCAGACATGATGAGGGCGGGGCCTTCAATTAAGTTTGGTCCATTTAGCAATGTTGTAGACAGGATGGGTTATTGGCTGAAACATCAAAAGGTATTACCACAATTTATGGTGATGGTATTAGTTTGTAGTAAGACTGAAACTTAAAGAATAAATAAAGGTTGTTTTAGTGGAAATCACATTTCTGATTAGCCAAATTTAATCTTTATCATTGCCATTTGTTTGTTGTGTCTTGGCCACAACGATTGCCATACTGTTTTAACAGTTATGTATCTTATGTTTCAGAATATCCGTGTGGTAAACATGCAGAGCGTAAACATGCAGTGTAACCTTGACCAGTCCAGTATGTACCCATTATTCAGTTATACACTGCACTAGTAGTCAGAGATAAGGGGCCTGTTCGTATATATGCAGAACAACCGGTTTGTCTGATGTTAAATGTAACGATTTCGGGTATTAATCCTGGAAGACGTGCAAATGATTATTCAGGCCTTGCAAGGCTTTGTCAAGGCTGTCCTGAAAGCAGCATCAAATTACTAGGTCCGACCTTATTTCATAAACGAACAACTGTGGTCCAACTGGTTTAACCGCTTAAACGTAAACGGCCCTGGGTTGCATTAGAGGGGCCCAGCTAGTACTAATATTAATACTCAGCTCTTCTGTCCCGGCCAGCAACACAATATATAAAAAAGATGTCTCGTCAGAAGCTACGTTATCGCAGCTAGGACCCAGCTGGCTTAGCCTCTGTTAAGATGAATACTGTACATGAACAGGACAATGTTCATCGCAGTTTAATTAACATTCATCTTTTTCTTCAGCGGTAATGAGGGTGAATGAATCATTACAGAAAGCATTAGTCAACACAATGATGAAATTATTATAGGTAGGCAATGGAGAATGGTGAAATTATTATAGGTAGGCAATGGAGAATGATGAAATTATTATAGGTAGGCAATGGAGAATGGTGAAATTATTATAGGTAGGCAATGGAGAATGATGAAATTATTATAGGTAGGCAATGGAGAATGGTGAAATTATTATAGGTAGGCAATGGAGAATGATGAAATTATTATAGGTAGGCAATGGAGAATGATGAAATTATTATAGGTAGGCAATGGAGAATGATGAAATTATTATAGGTAGGCAATGGAGAATGATGAAATTATTATAGGTAGGCAATGGAGAATGATGAAATTATTATAGGTAGGCAATGGAGAATGATGAAATTATTATAGGTAGGCAATGGAGAATGATGAAATTATTATAGGTAGGCAATGGAGAATGGTGAAATTATTATAGGTAGGCAATGGAGAATGATGAAATTATTATAGGTAGGCAATGGAGAATGATGAAATTATTATAGGTAGGCAATGGAGAATGGTGAAATTATTATAGGTAGGCAATGGAGAATGATGAAATTATTATAGGTAGGCAATGGAGAATGATGAAATTATTATAGGTAGGCAATGGAGAATGGTGAAATTATTATAGGTAGGCAATGGAGAATGGTGAAATTATTATAGGTAGGCAATGGAGAATGATGAAATTATTATAGGTAGGCAATGGAGAATGATGAAATTATTATAGGTAGGCAATGGAGAATGGTGAAATTATTATAGGTAGGCAATGGAGAATGGTGAAATGAACACTTGGTGAATATGGATTTTACTTGTGTATGGTGAAAACTTTCAAAGGGCAAAAGTTTTCCAGTATAAGTAAAGGAAGGGGAAAATCTCCTTTTTTAAATGTTTAACAATCAATTTTGTCAAAATAAATCTTCAATAAAAGAGTTTCATCCTTTATTAATTACAGATGTTTACCAGGTGAAATCGGACGTGTCTGGCTTTATGGAGACTGCACACCTGAGTACCAGGTACGCCAAGGTGCTCCGTCTGTTTTACGTAACAACAGCCAGTAAATCAGACTTGCCTCCTTACACCGCTGTCAAACTAAATACCAGGCTGTTTGCCCCTGTGAGACGAGGAGAGAAGACCTTTGAGTCCTTCCCCAAAACCATGGAGCGGGTCATCAAGTGGTTGGACTACTTGAGTAAGCATTTCCATACTTGCAGTAAAGCTTAGATTTTAATTCGTTCCAAATTTTATTTAAAAAATTGATTAAAGCTGGGGAAGACAGTTTGAGGCAGGTTATTATGAAATCACTGATTTTCATGGGGTTTGAATTTTGTTGATTTCATTAGTAATCTTTATCCACCAATTCTGAGGTCTACGAAGTACTAACAAGTTTGTTAGAAAGCAATTCTCTGTTTGAGTGGTTACTTGTATTCTACGAATTCATGTACCCACAAAAAGGATGTTTTGTAACCGCGAAATTTGGGCCTGACAAAAATGTCTGATTTCACAGTGTTTCTATTGGAAAAGAATTCACCTCCAGAATTTTCCAATAATGATCTCTAAGAGAAGACAATATTAACTTATTTGGCCTTGTTTGTAGGAATACCGCCATTCTTTGTGGAGACCGTTTCCTACCAGATCTATACCCATGGTGTAGGGAAGGCTGTTCTTCCTGATAGGGTTGACAGTAGTGTCAATAGAAACTCGGGCCGGCACATACTGAACACAATCAGGTATGTATGATCAGTACATGTAATAACACTAAAGTGCTATTCTATCTGCCATTCTGAAATATTTATTAGCTCATTCACCCCTGAAACCAAATTTGAACTCTTCCAATTCAAAAGTTGGAATAGTTCATTATGAAATTTCGGGGGAGGGGAATGAGTTAAGGGATTTACATACACAATTTACAGCAAAAATAGACTTATTTTAGCTGAGTAATATTTTCATCCACAGATTTTTTTATAATAATTCAAAAGGTGACATAACACTGGACTTGTTTTTTTTCAGGTTGTATATGCCTTCCGACTTCATTGAGCCACCACCAGAACTGGCACCTGATGTTGCCACAGTTGACCAGGGCTGGGGTTGTACCATTTCTTGATCACTCCTAGCTACCAGACAGGCCTTTACATTTCATGATCACTTCCATATTGTACTTCATTTCTCAAGATTGGAAGATAAGAATTTGTTTGTAAGACCAAATTTTTTGTTTGCTCAAGATTGATTTAAGAGGAAAAAGTTGTGAAAGTCAGTCATTTATTGTCTTGTTTATTAAAACAATTTGATCTGCACTATAAACAAAATCTAGAATTCTATATTAAGGTCTTTTTTAAACGTTATTGTATACATTTTTAAAATTGACAATCACGTTTTCTTTGGACAAATGTACAGCCAACAATTTCTCAATTAATATTATTAAAGATTTTGGGGCCAGGTGTCTACTATATAGATTATATAAATGACAATCTTCCATTATATAGAGGTTAATAAATAGTACTGATTCCTCTTTATATATATATGTTTGACTGACAATATGCCCACTTAAAGAGGTAATTATAAAAGATATGTGTTCATAAATAGAGCTTTATAGCAATGATAGCCTTTCCATTATATAGAAGTATACTTGCTTACTGCTGATTATCCCAGCCTACTATTTGAAAAGGAGGTAACAAGAATACCTGTAACTACAATTATGTAGTTTACACCCAGGTTTGAAACTATATGAAGGAGGAATTCCTTTTAAGAGATTGTTTTCGTATCTTTAACAAGCAAATGATGGACTTAAGATAGGTGTTTAATATGGTATACAAATAATAAGGACAGGTGCTCTCTATAGAGGTATCAATATATAGTACACGTAATAATGACTTATGGAGAGAGTCAGTTGGACTTAAATTGACATTGACATGTGCTAGTCATCTGTATATACATGTATATAACCTGTTAATAGAGTCGTGTTTCTCCTCATAATGACCACCATTTTGTAAGAAAAAATCAAGAACCACAACTATTCCAAACCATTAAATACAGTGAAAACAAATCCCTATTAGTCGGCATGGATATTTGAAGGTTTTTGCCAATCCAAACCAACTAAAGGTTTTTTTATGCCCATGCCATAAAATGGGGGGGG